TGTAGAATTAGTTGTTGTTTTACCTCGTTAATTAATATGTATAATTTCAATAATAATATGGGTGTTTCAGTTTTCCTCTATATTTTGCGTTGATACTAAATTGTTTTTCTACAGTATAGTTGATTCAGTTGACTTCTATTATTATAAAAACAAGTTTTCTTTTTTTTGGAATGGTATAAATATACGAGTATACGTGCATTTATTTCATTCATTAATTGCAACAACTGTTAGCATTGTTATAATGATCCTTCACAGAGTGATAAGTTTATTGGTAATTCTTCAGATATAATTTCAGATTTATATTAGTGGTCTCTCGTTCTCTACATATATTAACAGCAAACGTTTATGAGGAAGAAAATGATTAAGTACCAACTATGGAAAAATATTGTAAAACCCGCTTCAAAGGAAACATAAACTATAACATTCAGTTTCCTCATGTTACGTCTCTTGATAACAAACAGCATCAGGTGATTCAGTCAATGAATCACCTCTTCTCGTTCGAGTTTCTCTCAGGATTTGGAAGGCAGGAAATTTGGCTCGTACCCAAAAGTATGACTTCTCCACTCTCTCAGCGAATGTTAACGGCAGACAGTGTTGTAAACAACGCCTCATTGTTTTGATTTTTTTTATTATTCGCGCGAAACTTTTAATTACATTCTTACATTTATGAATGATATGCTCTTGGCGGTAGCCGTATAGCATTATATTTCCTTCTACGCTTGTTCCTGGACTTCTTTGTACGACCTCACCATTAAACTCCTTTCATTTGATTCATGTCAACGGTCGTATGGACGGTTTCCCGATACATATTACCACTATTAAGTGCACAAAATTGTGTAAAATTTTAATTGGTGTTAACTTCCAAACAAGTTTATCTTTCGAACGCTTAAATTTTTTTGGGATACCTAGTGATTGGACGAACAAATCGTGCGCCTGATGGTAAGCGACACGCGTATCCATAACAGTTGCAGTATCACATAGAGCTTATAATCGCAAAGACTTGAGCGGCATTGCCAATCCGCCCGTCACCCTGAGACAAAGTGGAAAAGTCTCATGTGCCTGTAGTTTCACCAGCGTCCCCATACCCTTCAAAACTGGAACTCAGTAATAGTCACATTACTGCTTGGCGGCAGAAATGGGTAAGATGGCAGTACTTACCTGGGCGAACTCTTTCACTAGGAGCCATTGACTTACAATTATTAAGTCAATGCTAGAAGCTATTAGAATATTCCCAATTCAAAATGAAACCTCATTTCTCTTACATAAGTTTTTTGTATCAAGATTAATCAATTTATCAAGATTTTTTGTAGACGTTTCAAATCGAATTTCGACTTCCATAATAAATGCTTTAAAGTCGATATCAGGTCGTCGTGTCACTGTGATCACTAAAACTTGATAAAAAAACCTTGACGTCACCTCCTCTCACTTTTAGATCCTGGATATTACGTAAACGCTTCTGATAATTCAATTTCGGATTTTACTAGTTCTTCATTCGTACATTAAATCTTTAGTCTCGTACATACAAATTTCATTGCTTTTGTGTTGATTGGAGGTTTTTCACGCTAAGTTACCAGTAAATCATAAGCCGTTTTGGTTTTTTAATGGGACGAACCTTCTCTGTCCCATGGACCTATCAATCGTCTTATTTGTGTATTTTCAGCAAACATTTCTGAACGGCGACTGACCTTCAAAAGCCCAATTCATGTTCCGAGAACTAATCCTTCAGCAATACGGTTTTACCACTTCAGAAATTAAAAGCTTAGCTTAGCTATGTATTCCACACAATTATGATTCAAAGTGTATTCCATAACATTTAAGCTTTTTTGAAAAGAGCAATCCCTAGAGTTTCTTGTTCGTACTTCTCAGGGAGGTCAGCGTAGTGAACGAGCAGTAGCTTCAAAAATGACGTTTTGAAGTGTAAAAATTTTACCTTTAGAATAAATGATTATTTGGCTTTGACTTTAAATAAAGTTAATTTGCCAAACTGGTCCCACCAGGAATGGAACCCGGGACCTCCGCATCCAGCGACCACAGTGCAAACCGTTAGATCACCACAGTCGTCAGATATGTACATTAATATATGTTTTTTATTTTAGTTTTTTATTATTTATTTGATTGCGATAAAAACTTTTGTCAGTTTTACCTTCGCCCGTAAGTTTCTGAAGTATGATATGTTTGTCTACAGCTTTTGTGAAGATGCACTTTTAAATTCAGCTATTTTTAACTATGTTTGTGGTGCAGTTCGGGTTCGGCTGATACTTATTCCATTTTTAATTGGGTGAGCAAAGATTCACTTTCAACGTTAATTGATATTATGATCAATAAGTATGGTTACATCTCTAGAACACGTGAACTTGACCGTACAGTCGTCCTTGACAAAGTCGTGAGAATTTTTATAATCCTCGCTAACTTTGCGTGTGACTTTGTACTGTTGAGCCTGTATCACTTTTGTAACACGATATAATGAAAAATTGTAAACCTTTTCTTTTATAAAATGAACCTTGTTATGAAGAAGTAATGGCGATGTGTGGACCAGGTGCGAGCGCAAATAATGATCTAGACAACCACACCAATTATCTGAGAGGATATTCCCTGTGCTACGAGTAACAGAGTACAATTCAGGGCACTATCCAGAACATGCAGATCAGAACCAATTTAGAAGCTTTATTTCTCAAACCCGAACCTGGCCTCATCTTGCACCCATTCAAACCGCTGAACCACCGAGGTCGTTAATTACATGTCGATGTTTTTATTTGTTTAATAATACCAGGTGACGGCACAAATAAGTCGTGCGCAGTTGCAGTGCCACTCGGAGCTTTAAATCGCAAAGATCTGAGGGACACTGCCACTGCGCCTGTCACCCTCAGACGTAAGTTGACAAGTCTCATGTGCCTGTAATTATCCTTCAAAACGGAAACGCAGCAATGTTCACATTATTGCTTGGCGGCAGAAAAAGTAAGGTGGCAGAACTTCCCTGGACAAACTCTTTCACAAGCAGCTCTGCTGCTACTATATATTATGTGTTATGATTTGAGGAACTTTTATTGACAAACTTACTAACAGATACTTAAGTATTTGAAAGAAGGTGGAGGTGAAGGTGCGTCACACACTACGCCACTCCCGTTATTTTGAAGAAAACACACGTTTGTTATAATTATTAATACAAAGATCGAACACTTAGAAAAAAATCCTTCGATCCGGTCGGATTCGAACCGACGTCGTCTTGCATACCGTGCCAGACGCTATACCAACTAAGACACGGAACGAACCAACGGACCTCACAATTTTTCTATGTGTTTAATGCAATACTATTGGATCAATAATTGTCTTTTTTTTCCTTATAATGAATGTAAGTATGCTAATTTGCAAGTAATGATAAATTAAATTTTTATTGAATTGATATTCAATTTTCTTTTGTGAAATGACTCCACTAGTTTGTTATAATTATTAATACAAAGATAGAACACTCAGAAAAAATTCCTTCGATCCGGTCGAATTCGAACGGACGTCTACTTGCATACCGTGCCAGACGCTATACCAACTAAGCCACGGAACGAACCAACGGACCTCACGAATTTTTCTATGTGCTTGCGTCGTGTCTTTGTATTTGGTTTTTCAACGACTTTTTAGTCGTAGCGCCGTCTATAAGAAATCTATGAAAGATTTATCACCCAGTTAGTACCATTACAGCTACCAGTGCTGGCGAGAGATGTCGCTATTCACTGTATTAATTAAATTTTTATTGAATTGATATTGATATTCTATTCTTTTTTGTGAAATTACTCCACTAGTTTGTTATAATTATTAATACAAAGACCGAACACTCAGAAAAAATTTAAACAAAACTTTTATGACGTGATAGTTTATTACATGATGACGAATAATAATTTATTACAATTTCTTGTTGAAATAAAACGACAAAAAATAAACTCTAAAATTGTGCACTATGGTCACCACCTACCAAGAATTCACCGTGTAACCCGAGCCGTAATAACAGACGCTGGATACCATTCCTATTTCGGTGACCTGCATTAAATCACTCAACTATAATCAGTAAACATTAAACTACAAACATCAAGTATTAATTTGTGAACATATTTATTAAGTGATAGTTGAACTGATCGATGAAAATTTAAAATTAGTTCTATTTTGAACATTAACTTCCAAAAACCTTTTTTACTGGCATTATTAATCATTGTTGTTTTCTCGCTGTTATTTTTTAATTTCTTTTCATTTACAGTTTTTCAAATCTATTGATTTCGTTGTACAAACGCATTAAGAAACCATAAACAATATAAAAATTACAAACTGTATACAGAAAATGTACTATGGTATTTTTCGTCATATTATTGGAAATAAACATTTGAAAAAGACTATTTCTTGATCATGCTTGACGTTTAAATCACGTTAAGCTCTATAAAATATTTGACAAACATCGCAATGCAGAATTTAGGAAAAACAGGTCAATGCCATCTAGCTGATTTTTAGTGAACTACCTGTATATGATAAGCCAAGTTGCTCAGTGAAGTTTATTCTATAAAATAGATTTGTTACAGTACCGTTTCTTTTTTCTTTTTCTGCTTAGGCAAAAAATTCGCACAAACAAACTACATGCCTTCTAACAAGTTTTCTTTTTTAATTTAGTCGCCATGTGACCAGGGAACCAAGGGGGAGCGTAATTACACATAAGTGTGTCATACACTACATCATCCAAACTTTAAAATGGTCAAAGAATACCTCATGATAAATCGCTTCGCAGCGATTCAGTATATTTTTAAATTACAAGGAGCAGGTTTAATAACCTGTTCTGATTTGTTAGTTATGTGACTTATCGGTTTTTCTTCTCATGTTTTGTCTCTTTTTGTAACACCAGATTTGCAAGTAGATGTTCGTAGAACCTCTGAGCTATTTACTCGTGGGTTTTGCGTTCTCGGTACTCAGACAGTAGAATTAACCCAAACAGAATTTATGATAATTATAATAGTATTTATTAATTACAGAGGGACGACCGGTCGCTACTGGCGCAATTCTTCTTTGCCGACGACGCGCTCAACATGGTAGCGGCCGAGCTGGACTCGTTCGATGGCCGCAAGGACCCCGATAGGTGTTCCACTCTTGTCAATCAACTCCGACATGCGCAGGTATGTATTACATAAGTTTGATTCATTCGCACTTACCTACAGAACATCGCAAAGTTACGGCTGTCTTTGGTTTGAGGGGTAACCCTACGGATGGGCCATAGCCAAGGATGGTAGTAGACCCTATCATTAGAACTATTAGGAGACGATTGTTCAGACACTTGTTATCTTTTGTTCAATGCCGTATAAGAATTGGAAAGATCTTTAATGTTTGTGTAGGGTCCCAAAAATAAGCATTCAAATGAATGGCAAATGCGTATATTATTAGTTATTATAAATCACTCGACAATGAATACAATTTTGGTAAACGTCTTGTAAGCGTGTTTTCGAAAATACACAAAAACGGTTGAACGCCATCTAGCGGAATCTTAGCTAAATTGTAAATATTTAGACGATATTAGAAGTCTCTAAATGTCGAACTCGTCAACAAGAAGATAACATTCTGCTAGTATCAGATCTAATATCTAAGTTTGATTACATTCTGTTAAGTAACTAAAGAAATATACTTGGGCAATGAATAGCTACCCTATATCAAAGTATTTAACTTTGCTCTTAACCAAAGTATAAGTACAATGTTTCATAGTCATTTTGGTATAATGAATGCCCTTGAAGACCATTCATTCGCAATCATTAAATAATTAAAAACGTTACATAAAGAATACAATACACAATCGTGTATTTTCCGACATAATGTAAGTAAATTTAATGTTGGACATTGAATATTATTACATAAACGACTTTTGCGTTTGTATGTATATGATTTATTATTATTTCTTATGATTATTTGGGTGTCGCCATTCTATATGTGGGGCGCACTAAAAGTTTCCGGAATGAATAAGAAAAAAATACTATAAATGGTCAGAAATGAACTTATTGTTTCTCAAAATATTCTCCGTTAGCGTTAATGCACTTTTTCATACGAATTAACCAATTTAGAAAACATTTATGCCACTCCTCCGTGACAATTTCTGAAATATATTTTTCATACTCTTCGACAGCCTCTTCAGGTGAAGAAAATCGTTGATCGCGTAACTGGTTCTTAATTTTTGGAAATAAATAAAAGTCACAAGATGCCAGGTCTTGACTGTACGCGGGATGGCTCATAAGGTCAACGTTGTTCACCTTCAAAAAGTAATTTGTCTGTCTGGCCGTGTGAGAACTGGCATTATCGTGGTGCAAGATGAGGCGTTTACGGTTATATTTACGGAGTTTGTCAATAACTTCCAGCGAATAAATGGTCGTGTACCAATCACTATTCATGATACAACGATTGTCCAAAGCAACAGTAGCCACATGTCCAGTTGTTTTTATTAAAAAAAGACTCAATCATGCGCTTAGAGGCACTTTGCATGCGCGCCACTTCGGTTGGTTTCAGCTCTCTCGAAAGACCCATACGCTCGATTGCTGCTTTGTTTTGAGATCGTAACTATAAATCCATGTTTCGTCACCTGTTACCATGTCCCATACCAAATTTGACGCCCCTTCGTTGGATCTGGTAAGCATGGCATTTGTATCAAAAGATGCGATCCGTTTTTTGAGCCTCAGTCAAATTGTGTGGGATCCACAGAGATCACAAGCTTTTTTACACCCAAATGTTTGTGTAGTATTGATTGTATTTGACTCATGCCTACGCCTAAATATGTCCGAATTTCATGGTATGTCACATGCCTGTCTGTTTTGATCATACGGCGCACAGCATCGATGTTTTTGTTGTTCACAGCAGTGGACGGGCGACCATCACGAAATTTGTAACTAGATTCACACGACCGCGTTTGAATTCTGCAAACCAGCTATAAATAGTTGTCTTGCATGGTGCTTCATCGCTAAAAGCAGTTTGAAGACGAGCGAAGCTCCGCTGAGCTGTTAAATTACACTTAAAGTCGTAGAAAATCATATTACGAAAATTTTTACGAGTTGAATCCCTGGCGATATATATATGATAGACAACCAATTTCTAAAATGACGCCACAATCTAAAAACAAGTGACAGTCAGATGAAATAAACTGTATTGTACAGCCAAAGAGTTCCATTTTCAAATGTTGTAATTACTTTTTAAATATTGTTTATGTAAGTGGCCAGTTCCGGAAACTTATAGTGCGTCCTTATAGTCTTTATTTTATTTTCGACGTTATTATTAAAGATATATATATATGCATATAAAATTGTTGACGGATTTAAAATAATTGCTATATAAGTCTTTAGTTTTCAAAAGTGGAGAAAAGTATGTCCAAGGGCATGTCGGTTTCGTCGGCATATTTATTTAAATGTACAATCAAACTGTCGTATACAATTATAAATAAAAACATCCTAATCAAACGATAAAATCGATTGTTACATTTAACATGAAATGTGTTAAAATTTTTTGAATAAATCAATATATTATAAATGACTAACATTTAATATTGCAAGGTAAGCAAAACAAAAGAATATTAAGTTTTATTAGTCGATATTTCACAAGCGTAGTGGCGATCGCGTTGGATTTGTCTAGTGTCCTACGAAAATGCGGATCTTCTAACACGTTAAATTATTTCCATCCGTCCGTATCCGTATGAGTCGCCAACATGAGAGACGGTTATGAAATATATTTAGGTGATGTTCGAATTTAAATTTTAAAATTGCCAACTGTCATCGCCATAGCATCAGAAAAAAACAAAAGCTCTCTAAACTGTTCTACCTGTATCTGAGTTTATAAGAACGATGACCCCGGTCTGACAACAGACTCAGATTGTAGTCCAGTCAGATCGATGGAGTTTTTCTTTATGTTATTCGATCTTTCGATTGTAATTAATAGTAATAACAAGCTAGCGGTGTATTTAAAAAAATAATATCCTGGTGATGTTTTTCGTCAATCATATTCAATAAAATAAATGTTGAAACCATTCTGTCGTTACCATGCATCGTTAATTATTTCACATCCTGATCGTTCAAAAACAATATCCGTTCACAACAAACTTCGTAAAAAATGTAATTCTTTTTCAAATTTTGTTTCCATTTCTTAATTTTTTTTAACAAAATTCGGGAATTTTAAATATGGCTGTTTACAAAAATAACAGAAAATGATCAAAAAATAAAGTTGGCGTAGTGGTCATTGAAGGTATCGAGATGTAACGATAATGATCAGAACAATTCATACCTCAAACTTGAGTTGTAACAATATCGATCTTTCACCCCTATTGTTAGCATGTAATTACATTAGCTCGGTTACCGTAAACAAACTCAGGAATTTTCCTAACCGACTTAACGGTTCGCTAAATTGAGTTTTCTTTACAATACATTGACCTGGTACAGTCGTCATCAAAACGGTTAAATTAACGTTTGGGAGTCGAAAATTTGTTCAAAATATTTGCATACCATAATTTTTGTCCATTGATATATTTTTTATTTTTATCAAATGTATATTATGTTTCTTTCGTTTTCGTTATATTGTTGTTTTTAGTTTTTTTTTCCAATCCTATTGCCTTTAACTGTACTTAGTCATTAATTACTAAAATTTTAGCACCGTTCGTTATCACTTTCCTTAGTTCAGTTTTTTCTTCTTCTGCAAAGTACGATTAAATATAATTGAGAACGACAAGGTTCTACAACAACCGTTGAAACTGTTATTTGTGCAACCTTGTCGTTTTCAAATAAAGGAAGGTCTTTCCGTTTCATAATTTTCAAGATGCTTTAATTTGTTTGATAATGTTTCTCTACTCAAGGCGGTACGCCAAAAATAAGTCTTAGTAAGACAGAATGAGAGAGATTGCAAAAATACAAATAAATGATGGCAATAATGGCAAGTTTGACACCAATATTTATTTAAAACAAATTATCATATTTTAAGTTTAAAAGTAATATATTATAAGTATGCGCAGATTCTTGCATTATGAAATAAAACTAACTAGATAACAATCTAATAGTCGAGCTCGTAGATTTTCATGATAACAATCACGAATCGATTATAAAACAATTTTTCGGCTCTAAATCTATATACGCGTGTTTGTTTTTTTAACCGATCTAACGTTTCGGGCTCTTCACTCGTCCCATGGTCACAGTGGTCACGTCAATTTGAAAAAAAACGAATAATTCGATCCGAAAATTTTATTTTTCATGATAACGAGCAAGTCGTGCGAATGGTGATAAGCGATACGCTTGTTCATAACTGTTGCAGCGCAGCTCAGAGGTTTAAATCACACAGATCTGAGGGCTACTGTGCCCATCACCCTGAGACATAAGACACCCTAAAACGCACTTACATTACTGCTTGTCGGCAGAAATAGGTAAGGTGGTAGTACTTCCATGGGCGAACGCATTCACAGGTAGCTCTATTGCTCTACTGAATCTAATTTAAATATGTATTGCAAATATGCAACGGGACTGCCACGCAGAGGCCCCAGGTTCGATTCCCGGGCCGGGATAAATATTTGTATGGCCTACATTTATTTCTCTCGTGAGTTTGGGTGTAATTTGTGGTTGTCTATGTGTGTGTCCATGGCACCTGCGACACAGGGTTTCCTTAGTGCGGGGCTACGTTGAATGTGTGCGTTATTATTATTATTAATTATTTGACAAGCAAATGGAAACAAACGGGGTGTAAGTTTCTTATATTTCACACCTTATGCGTTATACTGCTCGTGAATGTTTTGGAATTTTAATTACCGTTTTCACTCAAGTACAAGTGTGTGTTTGATAATTTTTGGTGTGTTATTAACCGTTGCGGGCTACGGCAGGATATCAGCGAGGCAATTAAGAGTCATTGACCTATTTGTTTTATTTGTCATATTATTAATTTGTATATACTTTTTGTGTTATATTGCTTTTTCATTATTTCTTATAAAGCAAAACAGGAGTAGAGCTAGAAGCAGTAGAGCTCCTTGTGAGAAAGAGTTCGTCCATGGAAGTACTGCCTACCTTACCTATTTCTGCCGCCAAGCAGTAATGTGAACCTTGCTACGTTCAAATTTTTAAGGATAAGGGTGCTGGTGAAATTACAGGTACTTGGGACTCGTTAACTTATATGTCTC